CTGTTGAATAACCCACCTGTTTCCTATAGGGCCGGAAAGTGAATTGCAAAATCACTAACAAACTCCTCAAAGTATTTGTAGGAAGCAGATGTTCTGAGTGAAGTAACAGCATGACAAGGTGTTAAGTAACCTGGGTTTTCCTACTGAAGGTTTTACAAATTTTAGTTATATTGAGAAAATAATTATAAAATGAAATTTTTAACATTTAAATTCTAGAATATATAATTTATAACGTTTACTGACAGTGTTTGGAATGAGACATACTTAAGATTTTGCTGTACAGGCTGACAAACGTAAGCAAAATATTCTCCCTTGGCCCCCTGCTTACTGTTAAGTGGAGGAGACGGGTCTGCCTCTGGCTTGTGATGAGGGTTCCCCGGCCCAGCGACTGGCCCCAAGTAGGTAGCACAGGTTCCCTCTCCTCCAGCCCCTTGAGTGTCCACTGGTTCCCGGAGCAGAAGTGCCCTCAGTCAGCGATAGGCAGGCTGCGGCGGACGCAGGAGAGAAGGAAAAGGTGAACCATCGCCACCTAGGAGAGCGCCTTCGAAGCGGGAGTGAAACTGTCCAACTTCAGTATTGGTCTCTCAAGAGAGAACATCTTAACTGGCTTAGCGTGGGTCATGCCAGGGGGAGGAGAGAAGGCCATGACTGCGGGGCACCAGGCTCCATGGAGGGGGTGGCACCAAAGAGAAGAAGGGCCTGGAGGCCAAGTCCGCAATGCCCGCCCACCCCGAACCAGGAGGGTCCCACAGGCCTGCCACCCAGCAGCTGCTTGGGCAGTGACGTGAATGGACAGGGAATCTTGGGACCTGCGGCCCCAGAAGACCCCTAGAAGCCGACCTGTGAAGATGATAGAAAGGGGGCAGGTGGGAGGGCCTTGGGGAAACAGGGAATGCGGGGTTACCCACCTGAGCCCTCACACTTGGAGAGATGGAGACCACCGTCCCAGGGTGCCAGGGGTTCATGCAGCCCAGCCCAGAAGGCTGGCTCCTGCCACCCCACCTCACCAAGGCTGCCTCCTGTTATCGGGTAGCTTCGGGAAGCATCTAGTGAGCCTGTGGGGGTGGAGGGGCTGCCCTAATGCTGCCAAACCCCGAGTCTGCCACCTGCAGCTTGTGGACCCAGAGGGCTAGTCAACCACCCAGGGCTCCTTGGCATGCGTGAGGGGCCCTGCAGCCACCGTGCCTGCCTCCGTGCAGAGAAAGGAGTGGCTGGGAGGTGGCCCCGAGTCAAGCTACAAACACTCCTTTTGCTTTTTCCTTCACCTAAGAAACCTGCTGTCAGAGCCCACTGTTCCCAATCTCACCAGCCTGACTTAGCATCAAAACATGGGCAGTGACGGCTCCCATGGAAGATTCTGGAAGGCAGAGTAAGATCAGGCCTGGCATACATGACAGTCACAATTTCTGGGTTTCAAGTGTTATTTTTGGTCACATGATTGAACACCTATCAAAAGGAAAATCATTTATTCACCACTCTGTGTGCCAGGCACTGCTGCCCTCACCCCACGAGGCTGTCCCCCAGTCCCACATGGCAGTGCCTCTGGGCCACGCACTGAGGGTCCCCAGCGGCCGCGTGGGAGCTGTAGGGCCAGGGCCGCCTCCTCTCCAGCTTGTCCTCTGCACCTGCACTTGGAAGGAACCGAGTGTGGGGGTCTCTCCTGCTCCTATTTCTATCGCAATGAAGATGCCCCATCTGAACCTTCTCGTCAGAACAAGCAGAGCGGGTCAGAGGTGTCACGGTTCTAGGCACCTCAAACCAGGGGGACAGCCGGGGTGTGGACCCTACCGCAGGCCATGGCCTCTGCAGCTGTGAGGCCTTGGGTGCCTTCCCTCAGCTTCCTCCAGGCTGTGGTGAATGAAGATAGTGTGTGCTGACCCTCACAAAGTAGGTGTTGGCTAAGATGGAAGAGAAGTGGGGAGCAGAGACGAAAGCCCCGGACCGCCCACTTCATGACTGGTGTGACTTCAAGTAGCCCCAGCCCTGTGGGGCGGGTGGGCCTGGGGACTCTGGGAGGGAGGGGTCGAGAAGCAGCTCTGGGCTCTGCAAAGACCCCTTTTCTTCTCGCTCAAGGAAAGTCCACGCTTCCTCCACCCGACACGCTGCCCAGCCTGCTACTCGCCCACCTGGCGTCAGCCCTCGGGACCAAGGCCACACGTGCTGGCAAAGTGAGGCAGGTGAGAAACAACACGAGGCCAGTGCTGCGTCCCAGTTTCTTTTTATTTATTTTTTTGTTCTTTTTTTCCTTTTTTTTTTTTAAGTATGGAAGCTCAAGTATAAGATGTAGATTTTTTTTTAAGCTTTACAAAAAAACAAAATAAAACAAAAAACTTCTTTTGCATTCCATAAAAATTGACAGAAAAGCACCTGGCCAGAAGAGCAGACAGTCGAGGCCCCCCGCCCCCACAACGTGGTCTCCGAGGCCAGGGGCCAGCGTGCAGGACAGTGCTGAGGGCCACCTCTCCTTCCTCCCAGAGCTGTCCCCTGCTCCCCACCCCAACCCCAAGCAACTCCCAAACACACGTGGAATCAGATTTCCAGTTTTTCTTCTTTCACACACCACAGTTATTTCATAAAATTTTTTTGTTTTACATTTTTTACACCAATGTAACAAAAAGGTGGGAAGGAAGGGGAGGCAGACAGACAGTGTATTTTATGCCTATAAATGAGGGGGTGGAGCTTGGGCAAACAAAACACACATGATCTCTATGGAAACATCGAGTTCTGATAGCAAAACGTGGTGGGAAGCAGGCCTTGGAGACGGAGAGGGTATTAGCGGCTTTATTCTCAGGGTGTGATGGCGCTGTGCAGGTCGGTGACGCAGGTGTTGTGTGACCTGTCGGGGAGGAAAGGGACAGGGAAGGGAGCAGAAAACGAGTTTTCTAAGAAAGGAATCTAACGAGTGCATGGCATGTCCGGTTAGCATGAAGCAGAGGTTTAACATTGCTGCTTTCTCTTCAAAGCCTCCACCAGGTCGTTCTTAAGAGCTTCTTGTTTTGATTTGTCTGCAAAAGTCTGCACAGACCTGCCAGGGAGGAAAAGAATCGTTGTTAGCAGGCTTCACAGGAAGAGGGGCGGCGAGGGTCTGGGTCACTGGGCAGCATGGGCCCCTCTAGAGGTCAGAGCAGTGCCAGCGAGATGTGGAGGGAGCAGAGCCCGAGGCCGCACCCTCAGCACCGCGCCGGCCCCTCAGGGAGGCCCGGGGCCACCCCACCTGGACATGCTCAGCTCTGCACCAGGCTGGGTGACTCGGCCACAGCTCCAGGTCCCTGGTCCACCCCTCACCAGGAGGACCCCGTTACAAAGCTTCCCCCTCACGGCACCCGGCCCAGGAGGCTCGATGCTGCCCCACGAGTGCAGGGTGCACAGCACCCCGCTTAGCGAGGGTTTAAGAACCAGCGCCTGGACATCTGAGCACACGGGGTTCAGAGCCAGGGCAGAACTCAATGGACCGTGCTTTCAGGCTTTTGCTATGAGGCTCCATCCGCTGTTAGCTTGGCCAAGAAAGGCCCGCTCTGGATTTTGAGAGGCAGCAGGGAACTGAGGCAAGGCCCGGGGTCCCTGCTGTCAAGGCCTGGCTTGTGGGAAATGAGTGCATCCACGCACAGCAGTAACACTGCTCGGCAGAGCTAACAGGTAGGCTCGTGGAGGCGGTACAACTCACAAAGCACTTTCACACACTTTCTCATACGCTACAGCGTCCAGGAGACAGTGTTACTTCCAATTCATAGGTAAGGAAACGGAGGCCCAGAGAAATGCCCCGGCAACGACCCAAATGACCACTTTGTCAGATTTACCCAACATGTTGGTTAACCAGGAACTTGTTAATCGTTTTACTGATGCACTTTGAATAGTTCTCAAGCAGCAGAGAGAGGGTGGGGGCTGCCTCTCAGGAACCTGTGGACGGGAATCGCGTTTCCCGCACTGGTCGTGAAAGAGTGGAAGGAAGGATCGAAATACCCCAAATGCCAAAAATGGGTGAAGTGCGATGAAGGGGGGCCCAGGATAAACAGCATCCAAGGTGAATGCTGGCTACCGAACCCTGGAAAACCCTGGCAGCACCCTCAGAATGGTGAGAGTGCAACGCAACGGACAAGATTTTGAGAGAATCTGCATACAACTGAAAAATGCCCATGAGAAATGCCGAGTTTTGGTTGACGCTGCCGAAATACACATTTCTGATTGTCTGGACGGCCCTGGCTCAGCGCTGACAAAGGAAGGGTCAGACACAGCCATGTGGCCCTCGGGCTCCCGTCTCAGCCAGTCCACCAGGGGCTTCCGGAAAGGCTCCAACGGAGGTTAGCGTGACCAGCGGGAGGATGGGGTGAGCGAAGCAGCGGCTCACATGGTCCTCGGCCTGGGAGGACAGCCCCCGGCTCTGGGGATGGTCCCAGCCTGCGGCACACCAGCACCCACCCCACAGAGGAGAAAGTTTCCGTTAGAACCGGAGTTAGAGTCAGTAAGAGAGGTTAGACTTGGGGCAGCTGGAGGGATAAGGACTAGGCCACTCATTCAGGGGATAGAGCTGGGAAGGTTATTGCCAAGCAACTCGAACCAGCGCCCGGAGGGAGCACTCACTCAGTGTGGGAAGGCGGCTGTCCTGACAGACGGTAGGTGCCAGGCGGCCCAGCGCTGCAGAGGGCTTCAAAGCTGGGAAGCTCCAGTGGGCAGCCACTGGATGCCAAGGCCAGGGGCCCAGAAAACCCTAAAAGCTGAGGAGGGAGGACACTATCATGGGACAGCTTGAGAAGGGGTTTCTCATCGCTGCGGTGGGAACATGATGGTCCCAGCATGAGGCTGTAGGCTGACAGATGCCTTGGGCCTGCAGCTGGTGCACACACAGTCCAGACCAATGCGTTCCAGTCCCACAGACGAGAAGAACGGCTCCGCCTGGTTACATACGGGCCCCACCCCACCCACCCCGGAGGCCCCACTGAGCCGCTTCCGGGCTGGGCTTTAGTGTCCAGTCCCCAGCCCGGGGCTGAGCCCCTAGGCCAGGCCTTCACCCTGCCTGGCTGGGTTTTCAAACACCTGATGTAAAACCAGTGTCCCTCATCCTCTCGGGGGATGCTACTTTCATATTTGTCATGGTTCTCGGCCATTATCAACATGCAAGGCTGTTTTCCTCCCTGTCAGTGCAGGGCGGGTAAGAGGGCAGCTGCAGCTCGTTAGGGTGGGAGGTCATGCTGGTCCAGGCAGCTCCAGCAGCAACCAGTCTGGGTGCATCGGGCCGGTGAGGGGGACGACAGCCCCCGCTCTGCGCTCTGTCCTCACACTCACAGCAGTGCACCCCTTTATATCAGTTAGCCCCAAGGATCCTTGGTGGGAAATTGGGGAGGACAGGGCTGCACACAGAGCAGATGCGGGGGGGCTGTCCTGGAGCACGTGGGTGAACAGAAGGCAGGACATGGACCCTGGCTCTACGGCCACCGAAGCCGCGCAGACCTGAGGCTTCTGCTGGAGGCAAGCTGGTCCCCTGGACTGGACTTCTACAGGAGCCAAAGCCAAACTCCCGTCTGCCCACACCCAACCCCCGCCCCGAGTGCCACACACACACCGCACACACGATACGGGTCCACATTACGTGGGGCTGAATCTACATGTTAATGTGGCTGCTCACGGCCGTGAGCGGACACAGGGGTTAGTGGTGGTTTGAGTGATGGTCGGCGGGTTGGTGAGTCCTGTTTAGTGGGAAGGTGCTCGCCTCTCAGGCAGGGTACCTGGATCGGCCTAGTTATCAGGCTGGATGTGGATCTGCCGCTGGGTCAGCACTTGGGAAAGCTCCCTCTGCAACTGCTGAAACTTGGGGTTGTCAGGGATAACATCAACAGATCTACAGAGAGTATTCAGAGATGAATGCAGGAGCGGAGGACAGCACGGACCCAGGAGCACGTGGGCGGGGACAGCGGATAGGAGGGAGGTACAGGGGGACGCACAGGCAGAAGAAAGGGGCCTGTCACCAAGGCCACGCTGCTCTGGGCTGTGGTGTGGAGGTTACAGAGCAGAGCTCTGGGCTGGCAGTGGCCACGGTGTCTGGGGCAGTGACCGCGGGCTCAACAGCTAGAGGAAAGCAATGTTGCCTGAAGGGGAGAGGGGGGATGAAACCCAACGGGCCAGACCATGTTCCCCACAGGCGGATGGAAATGGGGATGAAACCCAACAGGGGCCAGACCATGTTCCCCACAGGCGGATGGAAATGGGGGACGATGAGGGTCCAAAGGGGAATCCTCGCTATTGCGAAACTGTATGAGTAGGAGACTAAAAACCTGTCTGCTGTGCGAATTCACAAGCCAGGGCAGCCGAGGAGGAGCGAGAGCCTTGGACTCAGTACCATGCTGGGCTGCAGAGCAGACGCCTCTCCTCCCTCCAGCCCTGTCTCCCCGACTGGGAGGCCCCTGAGGGGAGCGGCTCGTCCACGGTCGCACAGCTCTGCAGAGCATGCTAAGATACTGGCCTCCTGACGCCACGGCCTCCACTGCCCCCAGCGGCTCCAGCCTCCTGCTCTGCCACCACGGACCTCAAGGACCCAGAGAGCCTGCCAGCCTTCACTTGGCCGACACTGGACACTGTAGAACCGAGGGCCTGGGATGGGTAGAGGGCGGCTCAGGACCCTAGCCACAGCCACAGCCCTAGGCAGAGGACATCAGAGTGGCCGGGGGTCCTTTCCAGAAAGCAGCAGGCGAAAGGGCTCTTTCTGCTGCCTGGAAACCCAGCCAACCAGAGGCCTGGCAGCCTGGCGGGCCGCCCCCTGTCGCGTGTCTTAGGGTCTGCTTTGGAGGTCCCCTCAGATCCCAGAGCCAAAGGGCTGGGCAGTTTCTTTAGATGAGACTGACACCTGGGGGCCAAGAGGAGGCCGACTTCAGGGATGAGGGTGTCAGTGGCTATTAAGGGGAACGTCCCCCACATGACAAGTGTGAGGTAGGAACCAGCATCTATTGAGAATGCAAACATGTACCCAGTGCTTTCCCGTTCAAAGTCTGCACATCAGTCCTATAAGGTGGGCACTTTACTCCAAATGAGGAAGCTAGGCTCAAGGGCATATAGCTACTAAGCAGCAGACCTAGGATTCAAATCGGTTTCTTTTCGGTTTCCAAAGCTTGTACTTTTGGGTACATTACCTCAGCCCATTGACGATGTCCTTTGTTTTTCCAAAGTAGATCTCATTCAGCGTACTTCTGATTTTATTTTCCATGTCCTGGGGAGGGAGGTCAGTCAGACATGACAGCAAACAGCTGGGCGTCCTGAGGTCCACACCCTCCCACCAGCTCACCCCTGCAGTCTCCACTGTGACCACAGGGGGGAAGCGCACGACTGCGCAGAAGCCTGGTGAGCGAGCCTTAGCAGCCAAGACCCCCACCGATCACTTGTGCTCTGTGCACTTTCCCGTCCACAGGCACGCAGGAAGCCAATACCCAGGCACTGGCGGCCAACATTGGCCATTACTGGGAGGTGGTCTAAACCACACCACCACCCCCTCCTTCCAAACAGTGTGGTGAAGGGAAGCCAGTGGCAACTGAAGTCCCTCTGGTGCCCACTGGGGCCCAGGGACCTGCTTCCTTGTCAGGTCTCCGCTCACTGGGGGCAGGCTTAGGGCTTCCTGAGCAGACCCTTCTGGGAGAATGTTTTGAGGGAGGGTAGAGGGGATGCCCTAGAAGCTGTGCCCTGCTTGCACCTAGATCACAGGCTCAGAAAACACAAGGCCTGGGCAAAACATGAGAAACACAGCTTTGGCTGCTATGGAATGGGAAGAAAGAAGCAAGGCAAAGGCCAGCAAGCCAGGAAACGGGCTCCAGGGGCAAAACGTCAGATGCTGTGGAAGCGAACCACAGCCACAGAGGCGAACCAGAGCCCGGAAGGCCCACTCACCTCTACCAGGCGCCCAATATTGGCTATGTGTGGCGAAGAGTCGCTCACAGTTTCATCTTTCTCCATCTGCAAAAGACAAGACATTCCTCCAAGTTAGAGAGAGCCAGGTGCTCTCCGAGAATGGCCACCTCCGCCGATAGCACGGCCCCTCCACAGTTTGCAAAGAACTTCTTATTTCTGCTGGCAGCTCCGGAGCCAGCTGCAGGTGGTGCAAGGCCACCTTCCCAGTGGGGGACCCAAGCACGGGATGAGCTAAGTTTCAGGTCACAAACAGCCCAGCCAGCAAAAGCCCAGCGTCCACATTCCCAGGGAGAGTTGTGATGCCACCCTCGGAGGAACAGTTACCCCATCAAGCCCCCAGCAGGGAGGGCAAAGGTGACACCCCACCAGGCACTGGCTCATCCGGGGCCCGGAGAAGATGCGCTCAGGCACAGGCACAAGGTACAGGCACAGCACAGGCTTCCCGTCCCCAGACTGGGGAGCCCAACCACCACGCTGCTGCTGCTGCTGCTGCGCCCCCGACGCTCCTGTGATGGCAGTCACAGAGGGAGGGCCTGACAGTCCTGAGAAATAGGAGACGCCTAGGCTCTGAGAGACTAAGTGACCTGTCCAATGTCACAGAGGTCGCAAGGGCAGAGCCTGGTCCAGCCCTTTCTTTCTGCTCTGTCAGCTGAGTGATATTGGGAATGTGAGCAGGAGACTCTGGACCCAGATTCCTAGGATATATCCTAGGGACACCATGGATGGGGTTTGGAGGAGGTGGGACCCAGCGATTCAAGTCTCAGCCAGAGAAGGAAAGGAGGCAGGGAGGGGAGAAGGAATGGAGGATTCCTGATGCGAGCACACTCATGAATTGTGGATTTCTTCCCATGTTTAAAGGCTATTTCCCTCGCAAGATTATAAATTCCTTAAGCAGAGCTTTGCCGGTTTTATACCTCACAGGGTGCTTAGCAGACTGCAAGCACATCAACGCGCACTGTTACTACAATGAAAATAAGAACACAGCTACCACTACCACTATTGATATGAAACATGGAAGCTGAGACAGGTAACCAAGAAACAGGGAAAACATGAGAACAGTATCAGGAAGGCTAGAGCTCAACATGAACTCAGATCAGCAAAAAAGCAAAGAAAAGGCAAAGAGGCTCACTATTTCTGAACCAGAAGAGCAGGGCAGATCTCGGGGTGGTGGGCGTGCTCAGAGGTTGGCAGCCTCAGCGGCTTCTCACCGCGTCTCCTTTTCTTCCAGGCCAGACCAGTCTGATCTGTGACGCAGCCATCCTTGGAACGTCACAGTGCACTTAAAGGCGCCGGGACACTAGAGGGGGCAGAGGCCGACCCCTCTCATGAAAGAAGGAAGATTAGAGCTGGGAATGAAAAACTAGTTTGACACTGATCCAGACCGTTTCTGATGGGACTGTTAATAATCATGGGACGGCACACCTAAAATCAGCTCTCTCTAGGAGCCAGCAGGGGAGCGCTACGGACCCTGGGGACCTCTGATTGCCTGCACTGCTGGGACGCTGGGCTGGAAGAACAGAGAATTCCTCTAAAAGACCGCAGGCTGAGGCAGGTTCCCATCGAATATCCTACGGCCGAGGTTGAGGCGTGGGGCTAGATCAGGGGTGGGCAAACTTTTTGACTCGAGGGCCACAATGGGTTCTTAAACTGGACCAGAGGGCCGGAACAAAAGCATGGATGGAGTGTTTGTGTGAACTAATATAAATTCAAAGTAAACATCATTACATAAAAGGGTACGGTCTTTTTTTTTTTTAGTTTTATTCATTACAAACGGGCTGGATCCGGCCCGAGGGCCATAGTTTGCCCACGGCTGGGCTAGATGATGACCACTCAGATGGAGCCTCTGCCGACGGGTCAGACACCATGTTCCCAGGGATGCTTCTATCTGGCCCTGGGCCAACCTGTTTGCCCAGGACTTAAAGGAAGGCATAGCCTATCAACGGCATCAGGGGTCGAGATGATCAAAGGGGCCACTACAGGACCAGAAACGTGGGTCAGCTCCTGAACACAGCAGCTACCCAGCACAGAGTGCTTCCCAGGTGGCAGCCACCTTATTCCATTTAGTCTCCACAAAAACCCATCTTAAACCCAAGGATACTGAGGCTTAAAGATGTCGAGATCTGCCAGACTCCAAGGACTTTGCCCTTCCTGCCTCAGTAGGCTGATCACATGTACCTGGGCAAATGCCAACCAGATACTTCAGCTCAAACATTAATCTCACTGACTACAAAGTGGGGGGTAGTCCTGTGAAGAGACTTGTGGTTTTTTAGATTATTTCAAGCTTGACAAGACTGTGATGTGGCTGCTGTGACAGTGTTCATGCAGCTTCAGGCTCATAAGTGAAACCATGACTGGTGTGCAGGTCAGAAACTGCTGCTGTGACTCGCTCAGGAAGGCAAAGGTCCCCTCGGCTCTGGCCTGGCCCAGCCACATCTGCTGGGCTGGATTCAGCTTGGGACACTTGGACGCGTGGCAGTTAACTGGTTCAGAGAGCCATGTAGCTCCAGCCAGTTTGGCTCACTGGATAGAGCATCAGCCTGCAGACTGAGGGGTCCTGGGTTCGATTCCAGTCAGGGGCACATGCCCGTGTTGTGGGCTCGATCCCCAGTAGAGAGCGTGCAGGAGGCAGCCGATCAATGATTCTCTCTCATCATTGATGTTTCTATCTCTTTCTCCCTCTTCCTTCTTCTCTGAAATCAATGAAAAGGATAAGAGAGAGAGAGAGAGAGAAAGAGAGAGAGAGAGAGAGAGAGAGAAAGAGAGAGAGAGAGAGACATGTACAAGTTGGAGTTCACCTGCTTAAAAGGTTTAAACACCTTGAATCCAAGAAATGAGAAAGAACTGGGGATATTTCAGGCTAGGAGGGACTTGGAGGATCCTAGCAGTAGACAAGGGGAGCAGATCTAATCCAAGTCACTGCCAAGTGCAGCGAGGGAACATCATGGGATGACAGCTGTCTGTCACAGATGGCAGCACCTGCTCACAAGGCAAAAAGCCCCAGGTCACTGGAGTGCTGGGGAGAAATGGGGCACCTTGTCAAAGATGCTACAAGAAGGGTAGTGCCAGTCTAGAACCCATGGCCTTGCAAGGCTCTTCTGAAGATATGAGACAATCTGCAGAGCAAAGATGTCTGTTCTGGCAAGACTGCTTGGTGAGGACTGGTCAAATGGAAAAGAGGAAGGGAGTGCTAGAACCACTGGCCTCTGTCCCCCGGCATGGGGCCCAGAACTGTCCCAGGCTCTCTGGCCAATGATTCTGGGCATCTCGATCCTCACAAAACAGAAGTGAGAGAGCCCATGAACTTAAAAGTGTTAGCTACTCCCCACCATTTCCGGTCTAATAATTCCCCACCCGGGACTCAGTGTTTGCAGGAACACCATCTGCCCTCAGCAAAACCCTGTGATTCCCTGAGTGGGAGTCAGGAGCTCACTCCGGAGGAGGGACAGAGTTCTGTCTACCTTTTTTTTTTTTTTGTCTACCCACTTTTTAAAATGGATTTTTGGATGCCAACACCCTGGGACTGTGTCCCCTCTCCCCCACAGGGAAATGGTTCCAAGGGCTGCACAGAGAGGGTGTGGCCCAAATGGAGTCTCTCACAAATTAGCATCTCTCCCCCTCCCAGCTCCACGCAGAGGGCAGATTGCTCATGGAAAGTCCCATTTTAAGGAGCACCAAGAGTACAAAGTGAGGCAAGGACTGTTGGCCAAGGGCTATGGGCCATCGGGGTCAGTAAAGCCACGTGACCAATCAAACCTCTTGGAGAGGAAAGGCTGAAGCTATTGGACACCCAAAGGTACAACAGGTGGAAGGGTTGGAAGGGAAAGGAAGATGAGAAGGCCCGGTCTCCCCAGGAGCAGACTGACTCCTAAGTTGTGGCCAGGAATTGAGCCCAAGGAAAAGGCCCGGTAGGGACCAGACAGAAGAAGAAGGCGGGTGGGGGTTGGGCAGAGGCCTTGGCACACAGACATGTTCCCACAACCCCCTTGCTCACAGCCCTGCCGACTCCCTCCACACCTGGTCAGGATCAGCTTTCTGGCAATGCTGACCCACCGAAAATAGAAACTATTTGTGCAATGCATATATTATTACATCCTCGTGAAAGTGGCTGCCAGAAGAAAACATTTTTATGTGCTGTGGTCGCACAGATGTTCCGAGAGGTGATTCCAACCGAGTCTGAAGTCAGAGGCCAGCCTCTCGCCCTACGAAGGCCCTCTCCTCTCCGTGGCTTGGACATGGGAAGGACATAGGCCAGGTCTGGAAGCAGGTTGTGTGCCTCTGCTGCCCTGTGGCCATTCTCAGTGAGTACAACCTGGAGGGTGGGGCCCTGAAGAACGCCAGCCCCACCCAGCTCCATAGCTCATCTGGAGGCCCAAGGGGTGAGGGTCTTGGCCTGTCCAGGGCTCACACTAAATGAGCTAATATATGCACAATGCCCGGAACGGTGCCTGGCAGAATGGCAGCTGCATTCCCAGGACTGCCTGGTCCTGGCTCCTAGGCAGAAGCCAGCAGTGTCGCTCCGATTTCTGAGCTGTGCCGGGTAAGAGTGGGGCTGCAGGCCAGCACCGAACATGTTGTCAAGCCAGAGACAGTGGCCAGCCTCTCAAGGAAGGATCAGTCTGCCTGGTTTCGGACAATTTTAATTGAGCCCAATGCTGTATATTCTGGAAGATGGCAATGTCTCTGCCTGCAAGCTGTGTGGTAGTAGCAATAGTAGCTATTATTCACTGACTATAAACCATGTGTCAAAATGGTTTTGTATTTCTAATCTAAAACCATCTTCCCCAAAAGGCATTAGCTCTATGATGAAAATGCTGAGTTTTAGAGAAGGGAAGTGGTCTGTCCTGGCCACATGGCTGGATCTGAACCAAGGTCTGGATGATTCTGAAACCTGTTTCTTCCATGAGAACGCACTGCTTGCTTAACTCATCCATGTTCTTTACAAGAAAAATCAAAGACAAATCACAATCCAGAGCTCGGAAATTCCAGTGTCCATCCTTATTTCATCTGCCCCTCCCCCCCCCCAAGCCCCTGGGTTCTCTGGTCCC